CAGACGAAAGAAACCACAACCGGAATTTCCACTGCACTGGCACTTGCTCTGACCACGAGGTCAGGAAAGCGAAAGCGCTTGGATGTCAGCGGCAGTCCCTCAAGAGTCCAAACCTACCTGATTGTATGAGTTATTTTCGTCGACTTCAAGAATACGAGCCACGAGGCACTTCCTCCAACATGCAACATGCGAAAATTTACATCCAAAACGGGCAACAACAACAACAACAAAACACCTGGCGCGAGATACGCATAGAAGTACGAAAAAAAAGAAGAAGAAAAAAGAACTTTATAAGGAAACGCACGAACTCTTTTGGATACGAACCCGCGATATTCATGTTAAAACAAAATGGCGTCACGATTTATTGAAAGTGGTATAGTTGGTGGTACGAGTGTTCAAAACCATTTGAACTTCATACTGTTCGTCTTCTTTTTGACATGCTCTCTTTCCATCGTCCTTAGCTTTTGTTTGTTGAGAGCTGTTTTGGCTTTCTCCTATACCTCTGGGGGGTGCCAAGTGATGGTTTTGAGAGGCTGGTGATGGCTGTGAGCGAGAGTTTGCCGATCGGCGTCGTCCTCGCTATAGCGATGAAAATACTAGTTACTGCGCACCTGGCAGATATCACAACACGTCGGAGCGTCCAGGAGCAAAGGAATCTTGGGTTTTCACTGGAATCTAGTTCATCCAGCATCGTGTAGCCCACCGTCGGTGAATGGCGGTCCAGAAAGTTCGAACCTGGTCTTCTGCAGCATCTCGCAGTCCTGCGAGGCACACTGAATACGCCTGTCATGTATTCTACAAATAAAAATCACGAAGTAGTGGACTTTACAGTGATGAGTCTATCCTGTATGCTGCAAAAGACGCAGAAAATGTGACTGGTGTCTGTACACTCAGTGACTGGACGCCAACACCCCAGTCTTCTTCTGCAGGATCTGTTTGACATTGACATTATGCAGTAGGTCGGCATTGACCTGGTTTGGCAGCTATCGTAATAGTATCTGCCTGGTTGGATGTAGCAGGTTGGTGTTTGCTCGTCGTCCAGTCCGGAATTTTCTTGTAACTCACGGTGGAGTACGCGCAGGGTTTGTGATCATCCCTGTTCACTTCAATATTATCAAACGCAACGTTCCCTTTGTCACTCATCTTATCCTGAGTACTGAATTTGCTGACAATATTGCACAACACTTGTCACAACCTACCGCCACTGCTGGCGGTGGCGACTGGTTCGTCAATGGCGGTGACCAGGCTGACTGACTAGCTTCGAGACAGCGGCCTCGTTGTCAACCCCGCGGCAGCCTAAAGGTTAATTTTATCGATCCAGCCTCAGCGCCATGTTGACGATGCCCTAGTGACTGTGTATCATGGATTGCCTTGCCATCAGCGGTCATTGCCGTCCACCTTGATGCAGCCCTCAACAACTGGCTCAGCCCATGGGAGTCTCAAGTACAAAGTTGTTGCCAAAGTAGCTCAGAAGATTGGTGCATCGTGGTGTAGGTGAGCACATAACTAGGACTTCCTAGCGCCTATTTGTCCAGGCTGCGATACTATGTGACATGCTGTACTGCACATTCTTTTCAGCACTGCAAGGCCGGCAGCTGGACCGACTGCAGGGGCCGCGCACATGCAGGTCGCCTGTTGCCAGTGCAGCATTCTGGAACGTTCCTTCCTTCTGAGATCCGTGGAATAATAACTTTCTTTGCTTCAAAGCAAGTTGCTTACCTTTCTGTTGTGCTCCTAGTGTCCTTACAACAATAACCTACAGCAATGTTTTATTTTCCTTTCCATTCCCCAACCAATGAATACTACGATGTCGATTCTATTTCTGAATACTTTATTGTGTGCCCGCGCGCGCACGTGTGTGTGTGTGTGTGTGTATACCTCACTCGCCACTCGAAGTTCTGTTCCCCATCACTGGAACACTGCCTGTTCTTTCAGGACCTGCCATCATCTGCGGATGGGCATTCAATGATTGTATTGTGTGTGTGTGTGTTTCATTCAGAATCAGATCCGCTATCGTTGCTATAAGAGAAAATCTGTGGGTTCACATCCAGTGCATTTGTAGATTTGCATGCTTTTCTTGCCACGGGCGCATACATGGGACACTGTGTGTGTGTGTGTGTGTGTGTGTGTGTGTGTGTGTGTGTGTGTGTGTGTGTGTGTGTGTGTGTGTGTGTGTGTGTGTGCGTCTGTGTGTATGGGGATATTGTCTGTATCGGCTTTTGGTACTAATGTTCAGGTCTGTGCTTGCATGTGTGAACATGACATTGTTCGGTTCTGTGCATGCTATTGCTATGTTGTATATTATTGTATGTATGTGTGCATTTCCACGAACAGTGTAGATGAGCGTGGAGAGTGCATTCATCCCTCATCAACCACTTCCCCTTGGGCTTACGGGAGTTTTTTCTGCGTACCTCTCATTTTTATTTGTTTCTCTCTGATACTGTATTGATGCCGGTACCTGTACCTCGATGTGTTCCTCTATATTATTCTGCAGTCACCTTTAACCTTCGGTCAAGTTAACGTTTATTGTGCTCTATTTATCGTGCGAATCAAAATAAACAATAATAACACAAGTCGTGCTAGAGTGACAACATGTGCGTGTGGTAGGGTTGATGCGATGGGACGTTATAATTAGTTGGAACAGAACACAAATTGGGCAGATTGATTGGGCATCATTGATTGTGCTCAGTCTAAACAGTGAACATAATAATTATCTCCAGTGACAGACTGTAGCGGCTAGCCTCCAATAGGTAGCTGGCACTAGTCGCTACTGCTTGTTTGACAGGTGCCGCCAGAACCCCTGTTGTGTCATGCTATAGATGCACATGCCCTATTCTGGGGCATACTGAGGTACTTTGATTTTGTTGACTGCATCCAATAGTAGTACTCGTAGACCTTGGCTCTTTGTAGGTCAACCACCATCGCATGGATCGATCGGTGACTATGCACTTGGAGGTTGGAATAGCCCGCGCTGAACAGATCTTGCCATGGCCCAGGGAGTGAACTCGCTTACTCGACTATCCCGGTTTTAGTTAACCAGCATGAGTGGTGCAATTTGTCCATACCATGTTGCGAGCTCACAGTTGTTTGGGCAGGTTTTCAGCTGCACCACGAAACAAAGCGAAATAACGGCGTGACTGTAGAGCAAGGAAGCGGCGAGACGGCACTTCCAAGACGGAGACAGGCAGAAGAGATGTGTTCACAGCACGAGCAATCTCTCAAACCCTGCCGGTACTCCACAGTTACAAGAAAATGTCGGACTGGACGACGCGCCAATGCAAACCTGCTACATCCACCCAGGCAGATAGCTGCCAAACCAGGCCAATGTCGACCCACTGCATACCGGTATGTCAATGTCAAACAGATCCTGCAGGAGAAGACTGGGATGATATTGGCGTCCAGTGTACGGACACCAGTCACATTTCCTGTGTCTTTTGCAGCATACAGGATAGACTCATCACTGTAAAGTCCACTACTTCGTGATTTTTATTTGTAGAATACATGACAGGCGTATTCAGTGTGCCTCGCAGGACTGCGAGATGCTGCAGAAGACCAGGTTCGACCTTTCTCGACCGCCATTCACCGACGGTGGGCTACACGATGCTGGATGAACTAGATTCCAGTGAAAACCCAAGATTCCTTTGCTCCTGGACGCTCCGACGTGTTGTGATATCTGCCAGGTGCGCAGTAACTAGTATTTTCATCGCTATAGCGAGGACGACGCCGATCGGCAAACTCTGGCTCACAGCCATCACCAGCCTCTCAAAACCATCACTTGGCATCCCCCAGAGGTATAGGAGAAAGCCAAAACAGCTCTCAACAAACAAAAGCTAAGGACGATGGAAAGAGAGCATGTCAAAAAGAGGACGAACAGTATGAAGTTCAAATGGTTTTGAACACTCGTACCACCAACTACATGTATACCACTTTCAATAAATCGTGACGCCATTTTGTTTTAACACGCATACGGTCCACTGCAATTCGTAAAGTTTGTGTGACAACTTCACGTCTACGCGTGTACGAGGCCTAGTGTGGGCACGACTGCCACGTTTCTGCGTTTTGCTGACGCATGGACGCGTGCTCATGGTCCGGTCGCAGTGTGAGTAACTGGCATCTCTAACTGGCGTTTCTAACTGGCATTTCTAACTGTAGTTTCTAACTGAACTGTAGAGAATTGTGAACAGCAGCTTTTACAGGCAGACAGCATAAATGCTGCAACAGCAATGGTCACGGCAAAGCTCAGCAGAGAGAGAAGAAGAAAGGTCAAAGTAGATGTGTGGGCTACAGTCATTGCACAAGGAATGCCATTTGGTTCTATGCAGAAGAAGGAGCTGAATGCAGTGTGGGCAATGGGTGTAAAGAGGCGGTTGAAAGTGCAGCAGTATTTCTAAGGTCAATATGAAATGCAGTGAATGCAGTGAATGCAGAATGCAGTGAGACTACTAGTAGTAGTTAAGTAGTTATTATCCATGTCATGACTCATGCAGTCATGGATCTGCAAGCAAGGACTTTGGTAAGAGTTGCAAGTGCGGGGTGCGGCGCGGTGCAACACGCGTGACCAATACATTGAAAGTGATTCACGCTGCAGCTGTGTGAGTTACAAGTGTGCCAACGCTACGTTACTAGTACTACAGAGTACAGTGCTGGTAACTGAAATCCAAGGGGGTCGGATTTCAGTGACCAGCACTGTAGTAGCACTTAGCCGTAGCCGAGATCGAAAGGGAACACTGCACGAGGTTACAACTACTGAGTACTTGCATTCCGTCCAACACCATACGAGGGCTACCCCACACTTGCTGCACGCTTCAAGCAAACACAGTCTGGAAGTGGCACGAAGTGAGACGTTCCCGAGGTGATTGCATGGTGTCAGCCGCGCTCTGACCGTGCTACCCAGCCTTTTCGGCTTCTACTAAGCTAAGCCAGGCATGGTACCAGCCAGTCGCACCACTGCTATTGAAAAGTACAACACGGCGCACAGGTATGAAATCACTTCTCTTTCTCCGAATGTGGTGCAAGGTTGATCAGCGATTGTTAGAGTCTCCATTTGTTTTACGAAACTTCTAATAATAACACAGGCCGGTGAACTAGCTGCAGGGGAAGAGCGTCTGCGTGAGGTCTTCCAACAAGTTCAACAACTGAAGGCTATGCAAAGACTGCATTGATTTTTGCTGTCAACAATTCGGTGAGTGTTTCTCCAGTACGGCAGTAGTCCGAACAGTTTTGGTGAACATACATGTACATGTATGTGCTTGGTCCGGCTCATCGCAAATGTCGCTTATTAACATTTTAAATATCTATCGCCACTAAGGCCGCGGTCACACATGAAAAGCTTGCACCGCTTTTGCGGAGGCGGAAAGCGGAACTACCGCAGCCGCTTTGGCGGACCACACGATGCAGCGGTCACACATACATGTAGACTACTCTGCTCCTCAACGCTCCGCTTTGGCGGAGAGAATGCAAATGCAGCACGTCCTATGAAATTTTAGATGTTCTTGTCCGAGTCGGAGCGGCCTTCGCTTGTACAAGTAGAGCTATCGTGGATCGCTGACAGGCTGCTGAATGTCTCCTGTCAAGTACACTCGTGGATTTGGGGCACATTCACTGCGGCCCAGCACGGGTGTATTTGAATATTAGTTTAGTTTACATCAATATCAAATTCAAATAGTTTTATAGCAGGGTGTCGTTGCCTCCTCCATGATCCATCATCGACCCAGCAACTGCGTGGATGCCTGCAGTTGCAGTGAGGGTGTGGCAGAGTACGCTACTACTCCCTGGTTGCAGTCCTAGTGTTGCATACTCTGGTGGACGTATTGCTTGGAGAGAGAAGGAGAGAGTTGGAGATCGTCCGCGATCGGGGCCAATGAGTGGGGAGACGGATTCCCTCACCAATTATCCACTCATAACGATGCAGTATTGTTTGCGAGATCTCCAGAACGTACAGTTCATTGGCAAAGAAGAACAATATGAAAACTGAATACCAAACGGCAACCAAACAACACCAGAACTCAGTGCAGAAGTAGCACACCAAACTCCAAAGCTGATCACCATGCAGGTTCCGCCAAAGCGGATCCGCGAAAGCGGAGGCTCCGCTCGCATTTTTTTGGCGTAGCGAAATCCAAACTTTCCGCCAAAGCGTAACTTACGCCTCCGCCGTTGCCGAGGCAACGGCGGAAGCGTAAGTTACGCTTTGGCGGAACCGCCAAAAAAAGTGCATGTGTGACCGGGGCCTAAGAACAGGAATTTTTTTTACCGCTCTGTGAAATTTCCAACAGGCATAGTGTGAGGAAGCATGATACATGAATACTCTCCGCCACAAGAAAAAAATTTCAGCAATGGAATCAGGTGAAGCGAGTCGAAGAAAGGAAGCAAGGTAAGCAAAATGAACGAAATAAATAAGCGAAGGAGCGTGTTCTTGCACTCACACTAGTAGTAATACAGCTCCAGAGTTCATTCAACTCTGCATCTCTCGCCGCGCCGTTACATGAGCTGACATTTGCTGGTGTCTAGCTGCTAGCTGGCGTAGATTGGTAGAGTATCTCTTGCGTTCTCAGCCTATCGGATGGCAGCAATGGGAAAGAAACAGTTGTGGCTGTCACTTCAGTGCTTGAAGGAACCATGGGCAGTGTGACCTGTGTGTCACCACAGTGTGTTTCAACAAAGCCTTAGCCTTCGAATGAGGCGTACAGGCCTCTCCAGACAGCTGTCATACGCTCCGCTGGATAAGCTGGCCACGACTCTTGTAATGCGGCTGCTAGGTCCACCAAGAGAAGGAACAACCAACACGTCGGCCGGGCGCATCGCATCAAAAACACCTTTCTTCTTCAGCATGACGCTCATACTCCTCTTCCGTGCACGCGTGCCTGTCACCCTCTCCAGGCCAGGATCTAGGATGTCATTTGCCCCTGCTACAGTTCCGGTCTTCGGGTCGCTGCGCTTGGCTTTTGGCGACACAGACAGTGAATGGCCAGATTCCCAATTCCCAAAAGAGTCGAATACATCGCGATTCAAAGCGCTACAATCGCGATCATTTTTTCTTTGGTGCCTCCTTTGATCTTGCCATCACGATCTCCTAAGCAAAAGTAAGTTAGATATCGTGATTGGACTGGGTTTTACCTGTTAAAAAGTGCGTGGGGGATAAGCGAAAATTGCGATGAGCCGGACCAAGTACTATGTTATTAGTTTGACAGCATGAAACAAGGTTTATCTAAAACTAGTATTGTACATGTATTGGGTTATTATGTATGTACTAGTAGTAGTAGGCTTTAACGTACTCGGTTGTCTTTTTGCTTTGTTTCTTACTAGTGACCTGTGAGGTAGGTAGGTATAGGTACGGTGTCGTTGAATGTAGGTAGGTAGATAGGTAGGTAGGTAAGTATATTGTATGTAGATACATGTAGGTAGCACAAAGCAGTATGTAAGGCTTTTTCTTGAGTGCCACGTGCTGTCGCGTGTCTAGATCTCTTGGTGAGTTTGCTTTAGATCGCCTGTTGGATTGGTGTTATCGCCTGCTGGATTGGTGTGATCGCCTGTTGGATTGGTGTGATCACCTGTTGGATTGGTGTGATCACCTGTTGGATTGATGTGTTTGGCAATAAATAGTACGTCACGAATACCCCTTCCGCATTTTGAGGACTGCCCAGAATCAAGATTGTGTTTTTCATATTATTTTGATCGTGTCTATGATTATTGATTTGGAATTTGCATTTAAACTAACAGCGAGGAGACAATATTTTGATAACCGCAATCAATAAAATGAGCTGAACCGACATTTGTGTACTTTATTCACTACAAATGCCGACTCAAAAAGACCCACCTTGCATATCAGCAGCTCCCACACCAACACCAACAGCGCAATCTACAGCAACCACAACTAATCCACCATCCAAGCCCACAATTGAAAGACCAAGACGATAAACAGCCAACTACAACAGAAGCTACGCTCTCAACGGACAAGGGCGAAAGGAGGGACATGACAGCAGGGTGACGGCCGAGTTAAGTTCAATGGACGCGGTCAGGCGGGATGGACGAGACAGAGAGAGCGGAGGATGGAACGGACGGCGAAGGGAGCAGTGAGTCTGAGAGCAGTGATGGGAGTGATGGTGAGAGTGCCGGTGTTGTGCGTAGGTTTCGTGGTAGCAAGTCTTCAGTGTACAATCATCTGCTAGTTAGTCCTGATTGTTGCAATTCGTATTCCGATATTTCGTTCACTGTATTGTGCCGTGGTCGTCATGGTTATGGACTACAATTAAAAGTGTTGGAAGCCATCTATCAGCGTCTGTATAAGCGTAATTTGTGTGTACAGAAAGATAGTATAATTGGGTTGAAATTGGTCAAGTAACGTGTCGTGTTTGGTGCGGCCAAGCTTGGCCGTTAATGTTCCAGGTGAAATGCACTGCTGTTATGTGTTATCACTTTTTCCTTCCTTCTTTCCTTCTCTTGTTTGTTCATTTTTCCATTTGCATGTTTATTGTTAGCACACTCGTTATTGCTCTCGCTTTGATTGTTAAAATTCACACTTGTACATTTCACTGCTGTTGTTCTTAGTGTTATTTCTCTAACTTAGATTTTCTGTAATAGTTCAATTTTGTTTCAGTGTCCTTTATTACAAGGACAATTCCGGATGAGTGTTGTACGAAAACTTGTTTGAAACCATTTTTTCTCTACACCTTTTCTTCATATTTTGATCGTTTCATTGCATATCGTATCCACCGTTTTTTACATTGCATGAATAAAGTACACAAAATGGGTCGGTTGACTTTATGGACACGACTATTCATGTCTCCTCCGAGGGCGCAGTATAATTCGAGCTGTTCCGCAAAGCTTGCCACAGTGGCCTCGTCTCAGACTTCAACTCGTGCGTTCCGCAACAGCAAAAACTCGCCATCGCGTCTTCGGAATTCCTCCGCGCGGCCCGCCTTTCCTCTGATCCTGCAGCCCGCCAGCGAAGTGAGCAAAAGGTTATTGACACATTAAAATTCAACAACTTTCCTGACAAAGTTATCGCGACTGCTCATGAACGAGCCAGACGACCTGCTAAACAAAAGAAAGACTATCGATCCACGTTGAAGTTACCATTCAAAACGGATGCCATCCACTACAGGGTCCACCGTCTTCTAAACAATTACAATCTAAATGTACAGATAATCTACAAGAATGCAAGGCTTTCCAACAGCGTCACTAAGTCCAGCCTCACTGGACCTTGCTGCCGTAAGTGGGTGGATCCCGCTGCCCCGAGGCGACGAGGAAGGCCGAAAGCCGCCTGCGTTGCATGCCAATCGAGCGAGGTAAAGTGCACAAGACGCAACGTGGTTTATCGTCTGACCTGCAAGTGCTCGGAGAAGTATGTTGGAGAGACTGGCCGTAGTGTAGCAAGGCGAACAAAAGAACACAATGATAACTCACGCAACAAGACGTCTGGAAAACCCTGGGCGAGCACTACCGACTTCACCATGGCGGCGAGATACTGCCGCTTGGCGAGTCGGCATTCACAGAGGTTCGCGGCCTTGCCACTGAGTCGGATCGGGCCAGGAGGAGAATACGCGAAGCAATACAAATTCGCGACACGAGCCCCAACATAAACAATAACGCAGGGTGGGACCTCCTGTGAAGTCTCTGGTGAAGTACTGCCTTGTACATATTTCTGGCCCTGATACTCGCTCTTCCTGGATAGTGGTGGTTTAACACCCCTTGCACTAGTGCATACTACTACTGTTGTTGCTAGCGCCTGCAATTACATGTCTGCACGCACCTAGTGCACATGTACATTCTGTTTGTTGCCTGTACCTGTGCCATATTTAGAGTTGTCGCGTATTGCGTTATTTCTATACCTGGTTTTTTTGGTGATGTTTTGTCCTTTTGTTCTCTCCTCGTCATAGTGCATGCAGGTGTGATTTGTTATCAGTTCGCAGCGCTCCTCATTTATTAACCCATCCTAACCGGTGTGCCCACTTATTCCTGATGATGGTTATTTCATGACCGAAACGTTGAAATATAATATTTTCTGGTGAAAAGCAGTGATTTGAGTGTGAGCTAGTGTTGCTCACAACCCATTTTTTACTTATGAAGCTGTGTGATGCGTCCTACAAGATTTTAAAGTACACAAATGTCGGTTCAATTTCAAATTTGGACTTCACCGAGATTTTCAAAGTTTTAGGAAATTAGAGGCCACATGCCACGTACTGCTCATTTCTCTCCGAAACTCAACACTTGCAAGCCAGATATGAAAGAAAGAAAAATCTTTCTTTCATATCTGGCTTGCAAGTTTTCAGCTCATTTTATTGATTGCGGTTATCAAATTTACATTTACATTGCTTTTCTCCATTTATTTGCTTTTTTGCTGCTTCGCAATCGTGTTCTTTTAAATGAAGGTTTGAGTAGGTAGGTGGTAGCGGAAGAAACTGACAGTTTATCCATGCGTCCTGAACTAAGCGACTTCGTAGTTATGTACATAAACTGAGTGAAAAGGTTGGAGGTGAACATGGATACGAGCGATCGCAATGATGATATTTGAGGGATAAATCGCTCTCCTATCAGTTTGGTTTTGAAGCTCATTGATTCTGGATTGTTTGGTTAACTGCTGCTGTTGTGTAGATCAAGTTTAAAGTTGCCTCGTCCGCAATCAATCACTCGGACGTCATGGTTGGATGCGATGGAAGTAAGGCATGCATCCCTATTGATTTTCACGCACAACATATAGGGAACTGTACAAAGGGCCAAAAGATGCCCCTCGGAAGTTAACCTATCTGGGGAAAATGGTGGAAAAGGAAAATTGCTATACTGAGACATGACGGAGCGACATATTTGCGCAGACAGTTTTTATAACTTGACACCACGGCCCCCAGTGTTGTTTGTTTGGACTTTCAATGGAATTGCGCAATCATTTCGGGTTGAGACGTCACGTGGATGATCTGTGTTGTATAGTGCCGAAATATGCCGGAGCGAGTTAGGGGTAAAGGGAGGGAGGTGACGGGTACGGGATGGGAATCTATGCAGCTTCATTCAGCGTCCTCTAATTTCTCTCGCGATACAGCAGCCGCCTCCTGACATGAGAGCAGCGACATGCGTTACTACCAGTAACAGTTTTTTGCTTTGTCATACTACAACCATTCAATGCGGTGAACCGCTCTATAGGCGATTTGCCTTTGGGTCATCCTAAACGAGATATTATTATAAACAGTCCTCTTCTTGGGGAACTGGACATTGATGTCGTTTCTAATAATAATACGAAGTAATAATAATAATAATAATTAATGTTCCTAGTCGAATTTCATTGAACTTTCCGAATCTTGTACCTTTTTAAGCAATCATAATAGCGAGGTTTTGCATTCCGAAATTCGGCAAAAAGATTCGGCACGCAGGAGCGAGGTCGAAAATGCACACGAAGATTCGGCATGATTGTTCGGAAAAAGCTCACTTTGCCGAACATATTTTTCGGATGAATTTTCTTGTTGAAGAGCGCTAGCGCGTGATTTATTCAAAGATGTTTCTTATCTTGGCATGGCTTCGCAGGCGTCTTTGGCGACATCAGCATCGTCAGCTGCCTCTGATTGCTTCTCTCCACTGCCTGTCTATTCTCTTTCGCCTGGAGTGTCCTCACCGTCATCTGTGTGGCTGAAAAGACTATGGCGATACGCATAAAATTTGACTTGGCCATGGAGTTGGTTTTTCTGAGGCGACTGAGGAGGCAGGTTTGGCCCTCGACTCTTTGGGCGATCAAAATTCGTCGGAATCAGCAAGAAAAGGAGCACGGGACAGAACGTTGCTGATGCTGGGGCTCACGAAATGAAAACACATCATTTTCGACTTGCAAAACAAACATTGGTGCGAAAATTCGACATTTTGATGTTCGACAAATGCCCGAAGAACGCCGAGCCGAAATTCGGAATGCAAAACCTCACTAATGTCTTTTAATTAAGGTGTCTTACATTCTGGCATTAAGATCGGTGAAGGGAACACGCCCATTCCAAAGGACACCTGAAAATCCAAATTCGTTTTATCAATAGTATTTCTACAATTGGCCATCGCCAGATGCCATAATTATTGTTTGTCCGAGGGTGGAGGCATTAGTATACATAATACATCTACAAGTACGTATCTAATTTGGACCCCAATGCCATTGAAATACCCGCGGGAATTATCTTCCTAGACTGTTCGGTGACATCTTATAACCTCTCTTTATCTATTACAGTAAAACCTGTTAAGGAGACCACTCGGATAAGGCGACCACTCGGATAAGGCGACCACCTGTCCAAGAAGACCATTACAACCAAGACCAATCGACTTTATTCCCAATCAAATGACCCTGGATAAGGAGACCACCTGGTTACAGAGACCACGTTTTCAAGGTCCCTTGAGTGGTCATCTTAGACATGGCTGGTAGCCCTAATTCATAATATTGGTTGACATCATGTCATCCATGAATTGAGAATAATAATAATAATAATATCTTCACAAGTTTGAGGGAAAGAGACAAACGGGAAAAGTCTGAAGAAAAAATTGACTATCACCACCAGGACTCGAACCAGGGACCCTCGCTTGTAGCTAGCGATGCTCTAACCACTGAGCTATGGTGTAGTCGTCATCCCAATAATAATAATAATAATAACTGTATAACTGTTAGTGGTGCTTCAAATCGATTGGAGACGCCGCAATTTCCAGAGGCGGGTGAAGTCACCGAATTCTGGAGTGATCTTCTGTCTACACCTGCGCCGTTCACCGCTGGTGAGTGGTATGTAAGGCAAGCAGAATATTATGAAGAACACGTCCCTGTGCAGAGTAGCGCAGTTATCACCCAGGACATCCTGGCTGACTGCCTGCGCAAACTAGCCTTGTGGAGGGCTCCAGGCCATGACAAGTTGCATGGGTACTGGTGGAAGAGGCTGACAAGCCTGCACTCTTACCTTCGGAGAGCCTTCCAGAGGGTGATAGATGGCCACAGTGACATTCCGGGATGGTTGACGTCTGGCGCTACTACTCTCCTTCCTAAGACTTCTCCACCATCGGCAATGCCCAAAGATTATAGACCAATTACGTGTCTTCCGATACAGTACAAGCTCTTTACCGCCGCCATATCGAAGATTATGTGGCAGCACATCAATCAACATGAAATACTTGCAACGGAGCAGCGCGGTTGTGCAGCAGCTGGTCTTGGTTGCAAGGAGCACCTGATGGTGGATAAGATGATTCTGGAGGATGCCCATACGAAAGGGCGAAATCTGGTCATGGCATACCTGGACTTCAAAAAGGCGTTTGATAGCGTGTCGCATGAATGGATTCTACATGCTTTGACGATGTATCGATTCCACCCGTCTTTGGTCACATCTATTGCTCGTAGCATGCAGAACTGGAGAACGACAATGCACATATGCGACCAGGGAAGATGCAGGGTCACTACCGGCAACATTTCTATAAGAAGAGGCATATTTCAAGGTGCCACATTATCCCCGTTACTGTTTTGCCTGGCGCTAAACCCAATCAGTTTTGAGCTCAACCGATTGCCTTTGGGATACAGAGTGAGCTGCAGAGACGCCGAGTTGTCTATCAATCACTCTTGGTACATGGACGACATTAAACTCTACGGGAAAACTACAAAGGATGTGACTACCCTCGTGTCTACCGTGTGTGGCGTTGGTGATGACATCGGCATGAATCTCAACCCGGCCAAGTGTGCCGTGCTGCACGCCAGGAGAGGAAAACCAGATGAAGGATGCTCTATCCAGGTTGGCGATGAGACCATTGCAGAGTCCCTACGACTCAATGAAACATACTTCCTCCGTATACAAAAACTTCGTGACTTTTTTCAACGGTGTTTTTGAGCAAGTACTTGCTCAACGAACCGCGCCAAAGGCTGTCATCGACAACCCACATTCATGTTGAGGTAGGTTTGGTTGATCTCGAACATATTCTCCACGAAAGCCATGCGTGTGAGGACGTTGCCGACAGGAACTCACGAGTCAAATGACAAAAAAAGCTAACACTTACTTGCTCGAAACTGACACCATGACGAAGTGGAGCTCGCGCCTGGAGTACGGAGTAACGACTCACGCGGCACTCACTGCCCTGAAACTGGCCAGACTCGTAGATCTACTTGCGGTGTGCGGCCCCATACGCAGCGTGAAAACATAAATCGGTTCCGCTCGCACGGAAAGATGAAACATTTCAGTCGTCCTGCAACAAGCGCACACTCCGGATCAGAATGTCGATGACCTGGCTTTCTTCGCCACTCTCCACTCCAGTCAGACGTCTCCGTTGTGGCATAGCGGAATCGCAGGGACCTCGTCGAAGCCGTTGTAGAATGCTGGGAGGATTCTCCTGCCGAGAAAATGCGAAGCGTGTGGATGTGCTTGAGCGACTCGTTTCACGGCATAATGGAGGTCGCGGGTTGGAACGACTGAATATAGGCGACACGGATTCGTACACAGCTGTGTAAATGAAGAGTACGCTAGCCAAAGTCCCGCGTCGGATTATCATTGCAGCTGAAAAGAATCTGAACGAAATGCGAGCGGAAGCAGCGACTTTTGGCGATGCGGAGTCAGCATCGTCAGGTGACAATGACAGGAGCGACGAAGACTCTGAATACACTCAATCTCATTCGTCTGAGTTGCTTCTTTCTTTGTATATAGGTTGTAAACAGGTAAGACAATCCACGAGTGTTATTCCAAGTCAAACGGAACAATTCCAGAGCTATGCGCAGCCTTCAAAAAAGGTCACGAAGTTTTTGTATACGGAGGAAGTACAAGTACCTTGGAGTAGTGCAAGCAGCCATGATACCTCCCCCGCAGCTCAAGACGCAACTCACTGCAGAATACAAAAAGAGATTGTATTTGCTTCTTAACAGTGGATTGAATGCGCGAAACTTGATCAAGGCCATCAATACGTATGCTCTGCCTGTTATGACATATAGTTATGGAATCGTAAATTGGACCGAGGCTGAAATCAAGACCACAGATCGAGCGACAAGATCAGCCTTGACTGCGTCTGGATTTCACCACCCCAAAGCCTCAGTCAACAGGCTCTACATGAAGAGGGGAGATGGAGGCCCGGGCTTGGTCTCTTGTGAGGATATGCACGGCCGGAGCATGTGTGGCCTGGCCCGCTACATGAGTACCAGCCCAATAGACAGAATAAACCTGCTTTATCAGTATCATCAACAAAAACCTACAACAAAAAGCCACTCAATAACTGCAAAGGCCGCTAAGTTCCTGTCGAGTTTGGATCTGCCAGCAGCTGGACCAGCTTTACCCAATAAGCATACCATTGAACAAGCGTGCGCTGAGCGAAAATCCAAAACACTTTCCACTATGCCGCTGCATTGGGAGATATTGGAGCCGATTGGAGGAGAATCGCCTAGATAAGGAGCTTACCTTCATGTGGTTGAAATCAAGGACACTGAAACCTTCAACTGAAGGCATGATTATGGCAGCACAAGACCAATCCCTCAAAACGAAAAATTACCAATACGCCATAATGAAGTCAATTGCTCGAACAGATGCCAATTGCAGGCTTTGCAAGGGCAGCTTGGAAACAATTGACCACATTGTCAGTGCCTGCCCAGTTCTTGCTCGGACCAGTTACATTGAACGACATAACTGGATAGTAAAGTATGTGCACTTCGAAATGTGTAAAGCACGAGATCTACCTACTGGTGCTTCACGA